GAGAGACAAAGTAGAGCCAAAAATAATAGAGCTAAAAACGCAAACCATGATCACCCTCGTGTCAGCCTACCGAAGAGCCACTCAGCGAAAGGGGCGGGCTGCTCTCTGCTGATCTGACTTGCTCCACCAGTATATTTGGGGATACCTGGAAGGTAGGTTAGAGAACTAGCTAGGTGAATGCTATTTCTTTCAACTAGCATTTGGTAAAAATTGTGTGGTGATGTGTTCATGATTCTTTTTCCTCAAAAATGCCTAATGTGAACTTCCATTGTGAGATGAACGGGTGCTTGTCTATCTTTGCTAGCCATCATGGCAGGCAGAGCGATCCTTCTGAAAAGCAGATCTGATCATTTTCTTCCCCTGTTTAAAACACAGAGAAAACTTCGTTGACTCTGCACTTGCCCAAGGTCAACGTTCATGTGTGTGGATGTGGCCTTCCTAACCTCTCTGCCCTCTGACTCCCCACCCCTCATGCTGCACTCCAGGTGTGTGGACGGTGCCGTGTTTCGTACTTGTGGCCTTCTCACCTGCTGCTCCCGCTGCCCAAAACACCTTCTCCACCCTGTTGTCCGTTTCCTGCCCATCCACTGGGTCTCAGCTTGAGCATCACTGCTTCCTAGAAACCTTCCCTGTGCTCCCCGCCACTCCCACACACTCCTAAGTCCGTGCTCCCAGACGGCCCTGTTTGCTCAGCTGCTCCCCATGCGATTGTTCTGCCTATTTAACTGTCTCCCACTCAGTGAGTGCTCCCAAGGTCTTGCTCAACATCTTATATCCCAGGCCTGTCCTTTTTTTTTTTTTTAAGTATGGTGCTTCCCAGTCGTTTTCATCTCAGGGAATGCAGTAGAAAGTTAGGCTATTTATACAGTAGGGAAAACCAAAGGCACTTAAAAGGAGCCAGCTCCCAGCTGAAGGCGACCAGCCTAAAGGGCCCTGCCCTCAGCCGACCCAAGAAGTACGTGGACCAGTAAGTCGTTTTACACCAGTGTGTCCCACATACTAGTGGGGAACTCAGGATTGAATGAATGAACCAACAAGCAAACCTGAGTTCCAGATCCTGTTTCCAAGTTGTTTTACTTACGAGTATACTGAATCTCAGCTTCTCATCTGTAAAACGAGGATGATACTATCTGAGTAAATATGTTTCACTTTGTTAATTTTTTATTTGTTGTTAATGCCATACCCAGTTGTTGATACGGGTTCTGGAAATTGGCTTTTTTAGATACCGCTGGTGGGAGTATAAACTTGTATAAGCTCCCTAGAGTAGAGACAGGTGGTACAAGTCAAAATCCCTAAAACGTGCAAGACGTCTTGCTTAACAATCTCAGAGCTAGGAATTTATCCTCAGAATTTATTCTGATCAGTGCTGTGAACAGTGGCCTGTCTATAAGGTATTCACCCCAACATTATTTCCAATTAAAGAAATGGAAAAATACTAAATGTCCGAACAGGGTATATTGATGGAATTACTATTTGTGGTATATCCATAGACTAGGCCACTATGTAGCTATTAGTGATGATGATGTAACAATTCTTAGTGACGTGGGGAAATTATTAAGATATTTAGAAATAAGGTAACAAAAGCACAATTTAATATGTTCTCAGTTATTTTTTAAGTAGATATATTATTAGAAAAAGGCTACAAAGATATAAACCAATATGTTTCCCCGAATAACTAATTTAGAATTTCTTCTTTGTGATTTTCGGTAGTTTCGAACTTTCTGAAGTGGACATATGTTACTTTTATAATATACCAGGGTGCCAAAAGAATGTATCCAAGAGGACACTTTGGTCAGCGTTGCTCAAGCAGTAGTTCGCCATAATCAGAAGTGTCTAGACGCTGATGGTATCCACTTGGAGCATCTTTTGTAATTGCAGAAGTCAAACATGACTTGTATTCATCTTTTGTTATTGGTATATATTGAGTATTACAATTTTAATACAGTTTTCCTTTCTTAAAATGTGTATACATGGGGTTTTTTTGGCACCTTCTGTATGTTGTAGGAAAAACAAAGCATCACAGGAAAATAAACTTCACAGAGTTTACAGTTGGCACACCTTTGCCCCTAACGTGAGAAAGCCCTGGAATTCACTGATTCCGGGCTCCTGGTACTAGGAGGAAAATGGTTTCCTTGAGCCACAAGGTGCTGAGAAGGATCATAGCTACCCGGGTAAATACCCTCATTTTCATTTACGTGCCTTGTCAACTTATGCAACTTTCATCTGTGCCCCTGAGCACACTGATTTAAACACCAAAATTAAGCCTTATGATTTTCTGTGATGCCAAGAAGGGTCAGAAACTAAACTTCCACATAAAATTGCCTATCTCAATAAATTAAGTTCATGTGTGCTTTTCTAAAAGGGCTTTTCATAACACTAATACTTTTGAATCCAACTGGCTTCCTCAGACCTTGGAGAAGCAGTGAACAACCTTCTTTTTTTGTTCACACAAGGTCCAATTCAGGAAAAATAAAAATGTTTATGAGCTACATTTTTCTCCCACCCAAAATAAAACTAGCTTTTTAGAATCCCGTAAGGAGGGGAAAAAAAAAATCTGTTCTTGTAAGCCATAAACTACATTATTGGAAGAAGAACATGAAGAACAGTTACATTTGCACTGCTTTTTAGCCATCTAAATTCTCCTTTCTGGGCATATGTGAGATGTAACAACACAGAGGCAGCTTCCTAATCTTTCCTCTGGAAAATTTTATTGTGTGCCATATTGACTGAGAAGTCAGGTGAGAAATCTGTTTCAGTAGGCGGTGAGAGATAAGAGTTGGGGAGCAAATAGGAAATTAAGAGATCGAGGAAGTAAAGATGTGTACGAGTATAGGCTACTCCATCGGTATGTTTGAGTTTGAAGAGGGAATAGTAAGAACCTTGGGAAATATGAACAGAGTAATTGATCTGAGGATGCAAGAGGTCAAGAGACAATGGAGATAAGAAGATAAAGACAGATTCGGGAGGAGATTAAATAAGAAAAGTGGAGAGTTTACCTTTAAAAATGGAGAAGCTGTCCTCTTCCTCCCAAATGGGAGAACAGTAAGGAAGCAAAGATGAGGGCATCTGTGACTGTTATGTAAGAGGGGAGGATGTCTGTTGAGGGTATGAGGGTCTAGAGTAAATCGGGAGCCTTGAGAAAGCGGGAGACGAGTTAAAACAGGCTCTGTGAGGACTGGGGAGGGAAATCCACTCCAGCCAAACACCAGCACTGTTAAGCCATCCTCTCGGGCCAGTTAGTGTGGTTGTAGGGCTTTCTCCAGCAGGAGAAGAGACAGAAGGTCATTGAGCAGATTCAAACATGGGAATCGTCAGGGTGGGAATGATGGGAGGACAAGGCAGAATGAAGACTGAGGGTGCGGAGCAAGGGCTATGGACGTGATGGGCCACAAGGGTTAGAAGAGGTAGCCGGGACTGAGGGATGGAAATACACCCTCAGGACTGACCGTGCAGTAAGAAGCCTCGCAGGCGAAGTTCATGGCTTTTCTATCACAGGCATCTTGACAACAACATATCCCTTGTATGTTCTCTTTTTCCATCAAAACTCCAATTCTGTTGAGTTCTGTCTCCAGAGCAGAGTGGTCCCAGGCCTGGGAGGAGAATCAGTGCTGGTCACCATCTCAGAGTGGGAGCCAGAATTCCCCACTTTCAACTTTCATGTTCTGTTTCCCAGACTTCACTTGGTATTTTCAGCTGGTGGGCTCTCCTGCTCCCCTCACCCCGTTCCCAGCTGAGCTCTAACTTGTCATAATTCTACAAGTTAGTCTTTTTCCTAAAGGGGCAGTTTTGGAAACACAGGGCTCCTCTCTTGCCATGGGAACACTGTGGCCCTGTGAATGGAAGGTAAAGGTGGTCATTACCCTCACGTGTTGGGGGGTAAAGGTGGTCTTCTTTGGGGAACTGGCCACTGCGAACTCAGAGCACCCCAGAAGCTGCACACCAGTGACCCTGGATTCCAAACTGAGCACATGTGGAATCTGAGAGGGATCACCGAACGCTGTGGAAACCACGTCCTCAGAGGCAGTTATGACTCCTACGAGAGAAGGCAGGGTTGAATAACCTCCTTAGGTTTCATAAGAAAGAATAAACAAAAGTGCATAGAATCAAGAACTAGTAGATCTAAATTAGCTACTCTTTCAAAAGGTCTTCCACAAGATGCTATACGGAGTTGACTCTTAAAAAGTGGGCTCTGCAGAGAATCAGGCTCATAGTCATCATTACCACTGTCAAGTTATATTTGACAGTTTTCCTTTGCATTCATGACACTGGGCAACCCCCTCTTGTAAGGCCCGTGTCCATAAATAGAGCCGAGGCGCTGAAAGGGAAGGGAAGGGCACGGCGTGGCCGCACAGGCCCTGCTGTCTTGCTGTCGCATGGAGTGGGTACCGTGCTGAGCTGTGATTCGTTACAGACAGGTACCGTGAGGCACGCTTTGTTATCCAGTACTGCTAATTAGGTGATGCTTTTAAATAAAGTCTAAATAAATGGACACAACTTCTTCCAGCAGTAAGATACTACTTTTTTGCCCGAATCTTACAGTATCGTGTTCCAAGTGGTTTATCCGTAGCTGTCACTATGCACTGACTATAAAACAGAACCCTGTGCAAAGCAGGCAGCGTCTCAGCCAGCCTATGAGAAGAGCTAGTCAGGCAACCATCTCTCCCATACGGGTGAGCAAAGCGAGGCCCAGACAGCCCCCAGCCAAGAGGGACAGAATCGGTACTCAAACCCAGAGCATTCCATGGTCAACTGTCTTTTAACTCTGTTGCTCCCGGCCAGCAAAACCAAGAGGAGCAGCCAGAGCGCCTGCAGGTGCAGCCCCTCCTTATTTTAAGTTTCCTAAAGAGGATGCCCCCTAACTGGGTGGAAGCCAAACCAGCAGTGCCTCCAGGCCGCGTCATCGGAAAGGTGGATGACTCGCTCGTCATCAGCTCTGGTGCCCGGCAGCGGGGCTAACTGGCGTTGGAAGTGACTGCTCTGTGTCCTCTGCTCTCTTCCAGCCCGTTGCTAGCTGTGTCCTTTGCCACTTGCTGTGCCGTTCCAGGAGTCGCCCTTCTGACCTGGGGGGTGAATCCACTCACAGGAGCCCTGGGGGTCTTCAACATTTTCCTGTACACCTGCTGTTATACGCCGTTGAAGAGGATCAGCATTGCCAACACGTGGGTCGGGGCTGTTGTCGGGGCCATCCCACCCGTCATGGGCTGGACAGCAGCCACTGGGAGCCTCGATGCTGGTAAGTGTCTCCCGTGTGAGTCTCAGCTTCTCTCCACAGGCACATGGCATAGGTGCCAAACCCAGGCGCTCTGAGCCTCTTCTACACAAGCATGAGCACATATAGTCAAAGAGGGACTTCCTCCCCTGAACTGCAGTCCTTACTGGGTATTAGATTCCACTTTGTGTTGATTCGTTTGGCAAATGTGCTGACGAGGCCGTGTGAAATATCGTGAATGCAGAGCTGAAGGGAGACTGTCATCCCGGCTTTTCTCCTAGACTTGGGAAAGTCAGAGAAAATAAAGGTGGCAGTGCTGCCTCGGCCTGTGCCAAGAGGCATAATTAAAAGAAAGTACCCAGAAATCACGAATCAGGTTAGGTGATTCGTTTGGGCTGTCCCCCATCACAGAGAAGGTGTCTGGTCCTGTCACACTGCGTACTGCCTCGTCAGCAGGCCTGCTGCATTAGCTCTTTACTCCCACAGATCCGGGTTATTTCCCCTCTTATGAAAGAACAGACTATTTTCATTAGTTTCTAATTTATTTTTATATGATTTGCTTAAATTGTTCATGCTGTCTACAATAAACCCATTGAGACATTTTTTACTTTTTTTTTTTTTGGTGGTGTGTCACAACTAAATTTGTGGGGTGAAAATAGCCCATTTTTACCATCTGTAAGGGAAGTTTCACAGTCTAATTAGTCAAGTAATTAGTGTTTTTGACCAACACTTAGGAAGGAAGTGGTGAGGTTTCCTGCAATATATGTAAGTACATATTTTTCACATGAGAGATCAAAAGGCAGTTGACCATAAACCGTTGCCCTGTGAGCCACATTTCTGAAACTTTTCATAAAAGCTCTTAGACTCTGATTTGGCAAGCTTACAAAGATGATTACACCTTTACCATGATTGTCTCTTAGAGTGGTTTTAATATCCTGTAAATGTTGGCATTCCATGAATCTACAAACATAATATTCTGAAATGGACATGCTCATTTGCTCTGTGATAAACCCACAGCCAGAGTCTCTTCCATGTGGGAGGCTCTTTCACAACAGAGCCCAGCGGTGAAGCACAAGGGGTTTGGAGCAGAGGGCCCAAGCCAGGAGCCCGGCTTCACCGCTCCACAGCTGCGCGCCTTCCGATGCTCTTGACCTGTTTATGCCACTGTCTCCTTACCTCCTCCACATAGAGCTAATACTGGTCCCTTCTCATAGGGTTGTTGTGGGGCTTAAATGAGTTATTAAGTATTCCTCACTCATACAGTGAGTGGGTAATACAGATCAAGAAAGGTCATGAGATTTTATTGGTGTGCAAATTCAAAACAGTCATTGTTATCTGGCTGTTGATTGGAAGGCTGTGAGGTGCCTCCAGGCTTGGTGGGAAAGAGTACTGGGGTCCATTCGTGATACCTGTCTTGCGGGAGGGAGGTAAGGGTGGACAGCATGACTTTGGCATCCCTGGACTAGATGACATCTGAGTTTCCTTGCCTTCCCCCTCCATCCCCCGCCCCGCCCCATTTACAGTTCAAATTTAAAAGAGTACAGCCGCATACCACCAAACTCCTGGTCAGACTCTGCCTCCTCAGCTCTGCCTGGAGACCCAACCTTGACTTGGTCCAAACTCCCACTCTCCCCTATATGAAAGTAAATAATAATCCCCCAGCTCTACAACCTCTGGTGTCCTCCCGTCCACAACGATGGAGTGCAACATCACTCTTGGGTGCCCTGCTCCAAGCCCCCTTCCTGTCTGATGGAGACAGTCCCACATGCAGCCAAGAATGCTGGAACCTTCTTCAATGTCCTCAAACCTGGCAGGGAAGAACAAGGCACCCAAAACTACTTTTCTGTCTAGGGAATCCCAGACAGGGCCAGGGTTACAGTCAGGTATTATAGCTGCAGGGACAGGTGTCACTGGAGATAGGTGAGGGCAGTCAAATGCAGGGCTGTGAGAACTTGGTCACTTGAGTTGCGCAGGGTCCTAGGACCCAGGTTCTTGTTGAGGGCTCAGTGCCCTGGTCATACTCCCAGGCAGTTTCCTAGTGAAGAGTTTGAGCCTCAGCATATGTTGGCTAGAGTTGCATCCTTAGAGGTCAGAGAGAGAAAGAGCTTTGCAAAAGTCCTTCCACTGAGGACCACACTTTCAGGCAGGAGCCCTATTATTCACTGACAGTCTAGATTTGGCTAAACTGCTAACAGACGTATTTGAAATAAAAATTTTTAAAATTGTTTGGGGATAGTCTTTGTGTAATCCAAATTTAATCATTGATATACAGACTCATTAGTGAAGGGATAGCTAAAAGCCAGGCTATCCCTTGTTTTAGGTAACAGGATGAAATGCATATTTATCTCGAAAAGTGAGACCCATCATCTGCCTGAGCTGACCGTGGTATAAAGCGGAGCAGCCTGAAAGGTGTGTGTAACCACAAGGAGAAGTTCCTTTGGCCATTTTTGAGATGGACTTCTATCATATCCTTTTTCTATAAATTTTAAAGTTGCATTGCAGGCAGCACACACAGTAATAACACAGTTTACTACTCCCAGTTCTAATTTACCACAGATCAAATCAAATACCTAAAGCCTCATTAAGTTTATACAGAAAAGATATTGCTGCTTTACATAATGCTTTAAACTGCTTCAAGAAAGTTTCAAAACATTAATATGATAGAGCAAACTTGAGATAAGAAGTACGCCTTTGAATGAATGAGTGAATAAGTACCTTCCGTTTTACAGATGACAAAAGTAGGTTACTCCAGGGTCAGTTGCCAAATATTTACTGAGCATCAGCTATGTAAAGATACTACACAGGAAGAAGTGATGGAAGAAATAAGGCAGAGCCTGAGGGAACGTTTAATGATTTTTATTGCTGGGATTTTAGGAACTAGGTTAAATATGATTTTTTGTAGCTTTGCCATCTTCTAGAACTGCACTGTCTAATAAGGCAGCCACTAGCCACATGTGGCTATTTAATTTAAACTAAATAAACTTACAAATTCAGTTTCAGTCCCTTTAGCAGCATTTCAAACGCTCACAGCCACACGTGGCTAGTAGTGCCATGTTAACAGTGCAGGCGTAAAACATTTTCATCCTCACAGAAAGTTCATTTAGACAGTACTGCCTAGAAATAGAAAGACAACTAAGATCCTTATGAACAACGTTCTGTGTTCCTCATGTGAGTTTGTCCTTGAAGTAATAGGGCATTGTATGAGACGATACCTGTGGTTCTCAGACTTGAGTGCACGTCAGAATCAGCTGAAGCGCATGTCACACCCAGATTCCCGGGCCCTCCCTCAGAATCTCATGCAGTAGGCCTGCGGTGTGACCTGAGAATCTACATTTCTAACAAGGTCCCATTTGATGCTGATGCCCGTGGTCCAGGGACCACACTTTGAGAACCGCCAGTCTGAAGAGAAAGAACCAGAGAGCTCTAGCTGTTAGAACACTTGGGAAGTACGTAGGGATCTGGGCAAAGAGCATGGGCAGATGGTATTTAAGATGCACCCATGGTGTCATTTATCTTAGCCTCAGAGGTTATATCTCTTGTCTGGGGCCTCATCTGAGGGAACTTGTTTGCTTGAAAGAGCCCTTCTAAGAAGAAATGGTCTTTCTTCTGTGGTATGGCCAAACCAGTTTCAGAGAGAAACTGATCAATTTTCAAAAGACTGATCAATTTGGTGAAGACTGTGAGCAAAGAAGTCTTTGGAATCTTGTTGAATTACCCTGACGGTAAGGCAGAGGAGGAGCTGGAAGGTGGGGAGGGTGTAAGAGCGGCTGGGAGAGCACCCGCTCTGCGAGGCAGCCTGGGCAGGGCACTGCTGGGGCTCACCACCTCAAACACTGGCCCCCTGATTGCGTCATCGTGCAGGTGGAGACCTACTGTGTGCTGGGCTCTAAGAGATACAGAAATCACCGAAACCCAGCCCCTGTCCTAATGGAAATCATACCTCGGCATCTTCAGGGAGAGACAGGCAGGAAGGTAATCAGATAACTGACTGAGCTAAGATCTTAGCAGAAAAGGCATCCGCAGAGGGCTGAGAACCCTCTTAACCTCCCCAAATTGGTCCAAGGAGACTTTGGAGCAGAATGGCTGCGGGACGAAGTCATGCGCAGCTTATTGAGCAGGGAGAGTGCTTTCCACGAGGAGGGAAGCACGTGTACAGAGGTTTGTGCGCATGAGAAGCAGAGCAGTCGTATGGGGCAGGGGCATGGTCTGCGATGAGCTGCCTTGCTGAAATTTGTATTTCCTGAAAGGTGATAAAGGCCCATTGGAGGTTTAAGCAGGAATGCAGCAGGCTTCCACCTGTAGGATTATTTCACTGTGTGAGGCAGGTAGGTTCTTCCCTGGGATTGGAAATCAGTAAGTTGCTGCAGCCTGCCTGTGTTGCCCTCCCAGGCCTGTGTCTCCCCTCACCTCCCGCCATCCTGCCCCTGCCCACCCCTTCCCCGTCCTGGAGGGCTGTGCAGATATTAGGCCTGCCCCCACCTGCCTCCCCTTCCTAGTCAAAATGTATCCCTTGAGTATTTAGTGAAGCATCAGTCTGATCTCCTTTGAATGAGTAACTTGTGAACATCAGTGAATCTACAGGTGGGAATGGATGAAGGATAAATGTTTGAAGGGAGGCAATGCCACTGAACATATTCCATTCCTGTGCCCCACCAAACTTGCTAGTGACCCAGGACACCAAATACTCGGCTCTGTCATTTTTGTCACTTGGTCACCCTGACCATGTATATTGTGCAACATCCCTTTCCTGGCACTCAGTAGATGGGGGGCAAGACTCTGGGGACGAAGCAGCTCAGGGCCCATGTGAGATGGGAACCCTACAGCCCTGCCTATTGGAGGTCCTGCCTTGCAGGAACTATCTAGTTGGGAGGAAAGATATAAGATCAGTAGCTGTAGAAAATGGTATGCGTCCCAGATGGCCTGGGGAGTCAGGAAATGGAAGTGTTCAAAAGTGCACTCTCCTCCCTCTTAGCGGCTAGACCTTTTGTGGGTTTTGTGGTGGCCGCGGGCCAGCAAAGACCTCC